GCGTAGGGAGTAGAGGACATGTCGAGGGTACGGTGGAACGTAAGAGAGTAGAGGGCACGGGTTAGGGAGTAGAGAATACAAGGGAGACTTTGGGGAGTTGAGAATGATCGCATTGAGTAGAGAGGTGAGGAGAACACATAAAATAGAGGGAGGGAGAGAGAGAGAGAGGGTGCGTGTGTACAACACTCAGGCCTGCGATAAGCATGGTGCATGGAGCAGTGGCTATGGAGCGAATGGTAGGGACTCGATTAACTTGGGCGGTCATTGCATAGTACGTGATGGAATGGAGAGCCTCATGATCATAGAGCACAGGACTAGAGCAGAGAGCAAAGAGCTGATAGTAGAGATCACATGAAGGGCGAGCGCAGAGTAGTGCGCATTAAACGCACATCTCATAACATGGAGAGTAAGAGGGGATATAGGGATAGGGGGTAGAGGCTACAGAGCGGGGCGTACGACATAAGGTATATTACTTGGTAATGACTAGAGGGAAGATGCTTAATCATACGAAGGCTATCGAATCTGAGAGCTTGTACAACAACGAAATGAGACTAGAGCGTAGAGGACACTCAATGATGGCAAGTGTTCCGCACGCGGCTGGATCAATGTCATCATCTTTCTAGTTGCTATTCCCACGAAGCCATGCCCAAAAAGCTGCCAATCATCACAATCAGCATTTGCACTTGGTGTCCATAGACGGAGAACGCGGGGGCTAAGTACATTGATTTGCTCAATCAACATCACGCTGTCCGTTACCGCATCTGCGCTTCGCAAGCTCATACTTTGAGTGATCGCTCGCAGGTATTGATGGTTCTCGCAGGCTGTCGGAGAAGGAGCAGGAGCTTCAAAATGCACCACGGGTCGTAGAGTAGGAGGTCCGCTAGTGAAAACGCGAGTTTGCTGGTATTCCTCAGGACTCTGAGGCGTGACAGGGTGAGAGCACGGCCGTGTGCACCGTAGAGGTCTGTACCACGAATCGTGGCCGTGCGACAGGGATGAGACCACGGCCATGTGCGCGGCAATGTATATTCTACGAAACATCCTGGCCGTGGGGCATGGGTTGGGGCACGACCGTGCGCAACGTAATACATTGCCTACGGAAAAGGTCGTGGCCGTGTGATACGGGTGAGAGCACGGCCGTGCGTCCCGTAGTGCATGTTGCAAGGAACAGTAGCTGTGTGACGGGGGTGAGAGAGAACAGCCGTGTGAATCGCAGTGCATTGCTTACGTTACGGAAAGGGTCGTGGCCGTTTGACGGGGGTAAGGGCACGGCCATAGACATCGTGGCCGTGCGACAGGGGTAACATGACGGCCACGTGCACCGTATTGTATCTTCGAAACCAGGGATCATGGCCGTGCGACAAGGGATGAGAGCACGGCTATATGCACGGTGGTATACGATCTTTACATGGAGTCGTGGCCGTGCGGCAGGGGTGACAACATGGCCATGTGCACCGCAATGATGCTTTACCAAGAGTCGTGGCCGTGCGACAGGGGCGACACCACGGCCATGTGCACCGTAATGTTGCCTGTGCCGGGAACCGAGGCCGTGTGACAGGGATGAGAGCACGGCCGTGCGCACCAGAGCGCATCGCTGACGAACAAGGGATCGTGGCCGTCCGGGCCAGGCATGTAGCCGTCAGCAAGCTGGAAGGGAGTCTTCGGCGAAACGGCCGCCAGCAACGACACTCTCGGGCTCCCCGCCTCCCCTGTGGGACTCCTCTGTCAGCCTTTCTCACAACGGTGAGAACCCTCTAGCGGAACGTAGTTAGGAAACAAGTGAAGACGCACGGGGGATGCTCCTGCGCCTGCTGCTCGTCCTCCTCGTCATTATCCCCATCATCGTCCCATTCTTGCACCTGCTCTTGCTCCTCCTCCTTCTCCTCATCGCCGTCCTCTCTTGCATCCTCCTCGATCTGCCTTTTCTCATACTTTTCTTCCTTGTCTCTGTCTCCTACCTCCTACTCCTGCCTTCCCGTCCGTCATCCTCCTGCCCCCCTCCTCATACTCTCTCTCGTCTAGTCTTCTCCACCCCCTCCTCATCCAGATAACCCCTGCACGACCACCACGCCCTCCTCCACCTGCACCTCTCCCTATCCTCCTTCTAGCCATTCCCTTATACACCCCATCTCAACCATCCACCTCCTCATCCCTTGACCTCGGGCTCCTCTCCCCCCTCCTCTTCAAGCGTATCCTACTCCTCATCCCCTTCCCCCTGCTCCTCCTCGTCCTCCTCCTCCTCCCCTCGGCTCGCCTTCATCCAGATCGTACACCCCTCCTCCTCCTCCTCCTCCTCCTCCTCCTCCTCCTCCTCCTCCTCCTCCTCCTCCTCCTCCTCCTCCTCCTCCTCCTCCTCCTCCTCCTCCTCCTCCTCTTCCTCAAGGTCCTCCTCATCCTCCTATCCATCTCCATCATCAACAACATCATCAGCATCATCGTCACCGCCATCATCATCAGCATCATCCACATAACCACCACCAGCAGCAGCATCAGCATCATCATCAGCAGCATCACCTTCATTACAAGCACCTCCATCATCATCATCATCATCATCATCATCATCATCATCATCATCATCATCATCAGCATCAGCATCATCATCATCACCACCATAATCACCATCATCACCATCTTCTTCATCTTCATCATCATCAGCATCATCATCATAATCATCATCATCAGCATCAGCATCATCGTCATCATCATCAGCAGCAGCATCCCCATATCCATCATCGTCATCATCATCATAATCATCATTATCATCATCAGCAGCAGCATCATAAGCATCAGCAGCATCATTAGCATCATCATCATAATCATCAGCATCATCATCATCCTCATCAATAGCAGCATCATCAGCATCATTACCCGTATCATGATCATCGTCATCACCTCCACCAGCAGCACCATCATTATACCTTTACCACAATGTTCATCGAGATCAGCAGCCTCACAACCACCATCACAAGCATCATACTCGCTAAACAACCGTCATCAACACAATCATCACCGTCAGCAGTGTCATCATATCAGAATGATGATCGCCACTCGCACCGTCAGCATCAAGGCCACCATGCTTAACATCATGCTTGCCCTTCAACAGAAGCAGAACCAGCATCATCATCACCACCCCGTCATCATGATTTCCCTATCCACTGCATCCTCCTTCTTCCTCCCACCTCACAATGACGTCCCTTCAGCTCTCAATCATATCCCCCTCCTGAGTTACGCCTTCCCTCTCATCTCGTTCCTTCTCATCCTCGTCCACCTATAGTAGTAGTAGTAGTAGTAGTAGTAGTAGTAATAATAGTAGTAGTAGTAGTAGCAGTAGTAGTCGTAGCAGTAGTAGTAGTAGTAGTAGTAGGAGTAGTAGTCGTAGTAGTAGTATTAGTAGTAATAGTAGTAGTAGTAGTAGTAGTAGTAGTAGTAGTAGTAGTAGTAGTAGTAGTAGTATTGATAATAGTAGTAGTAGTAGTAGCAGCAGTTGGGAAACGATTAGCAATAGTACAAGTATTAGAAGCCGTAGTAGTAATAGTAGTAGTAGTAGTAGTAGTTGCAAATGTAACAAGCGTCGTAATGGTCGTCGTAGTCCCAGCCGTAATAGTAATCGTAAGAACTGTAGAGTAGTAATAATAGTCGTCGTAGCCGTCGTAGCCGTAGTCGCCGTAGCCGTAGCAGTAACAGAAAACATAGAAGTGGTGGTAGTAGTAGTTAGTACTAGTAGCAGTGTTAGTGGTAGTAGTGATAGGAGTAGTACGACTACTAGTAGTAGCAGTTGTAATAGTACTGATAGTAGTAATAATAATATTAGTCGTAATTCTTGTAGTAGTGGTAGTAGAGGTAATAGTTCTAGTCGTAGGCGTAGTCGCATTCGTAGCCGTAGTAGTAAGTGTAGTAGTTGTAGTAGAAGTAATAGGAGGAAGAGTAGAAATATAAGTAGCAGTAGAAGTAATAGTCGTAGTCGTGGTAGTAGTAGTAGTAATAGTAGTAGTAGTAGTAGTAATAGTAGTAGGAGTAGTGGTGAGAGTAGTAGTAAGAATAGTAGTAGAAGGAGTCGTAGTAGTAGAAATAAGAGCACATATAATAATAGTAATTGTCGTTGTAACAACAGTAGTAGTAGTTGTGGTAGTTGTAACAATCGTGGTAGCCGTATATGTAGTAGTAGTTGTGGTAGTTGTAAGAATAGTGTTCGTTGTGATAACCGTCGTAGTCTTAGTGGTAGCTGCCGTTGCTGTAATTCAAATCACAGTAGCCGCTGTTGTAATAATAGTAGTCGTCGTTATAGTGATAGTAGTAGTAGTAGTAGTAGTAGTAGTAGTGGTGGTAGTAGTAGTGGTAGTAGTGGTAGCAGTAGTAGTAACAGTAGGAGTAGGAGTAGTAGTAGTAGTAGTCGTAGTAGTAGTAGTCGTAGTAGTAGTATTAGTAGTAATAGTAGTAGTAGTAGTAGTAGTAGTAGTAGTAGTAGTCGTAGTAGTAGTAGTAGTAGTACGAGTCATAAGAATATTTAAATGGTAGTAGTTGTAGTGGTAGTGGTAATACTAGTAATAATAATCATGAAGATACAGCTAATGGGGCTCATAGTGGAAATCGCATAAGTCCCTGCCAAACGTTCATGTCTTTCGAAAGCTGCAATTTTGAGAACCTCATTGCCGTGCTACACGTTTTTGATGATGTTGCTACTCAACCAAAGAGGTTAGCAACTTCGACTCGGAATTTCGCCCCGCGATAATAAAGTTCGGCCTTGCCGCCCCTCCCCCGACCAACTCGGTCTTGGTCGGAGATAGTCAACTCTCAGGGGTGAAGGGGGGGATGATGTATTACCCGGTGCGGTCGGTTACCCAGATCCACCTTTTGCCCTCCTCCTTCTCCTCCTCTTCCTCCTCCTCCTCACGATCGTTATCCCCGCGCACCTCGTCCTCGTCCTCCTGCTCCTCCTCGAGTGCTCCTCCTCGAGTGCTCCTCCGCGCGCGCGCGCGTGCCCGCGGCGGGAGGGGGGCGACCCCACGCCGATCATCGGCTTGGGCGTCCCGCAAATTGGGCACGCTTGCTGCGGAGGGGGGGGCCGCGCGGAGAGGTGGGCAGGATCTGTTCGGTTGCGGGCCTTTCCCTTTCGGAGGCCTCATCGGTGGCCGCGGCGCGTCGAGGGTCGAGGGGGAGTGCCATTTTTCGGTGGCAGACCTGAACAAGAAAAGATTTCTGAGGAGGACCATGCCAACCTTTATTTGTCCTCACTTTCTGGCCTTCGGCCACCCGTTATCGTACTGTCTGGACGGGGCCAGAAGGCCAGCCAGGACGAGCCCCGCGAAGGGTTCCGGGGTCCGTTTCGCACGGGCGTTTCAAGATTTAGCGGCACACAGCCAGGGGTGGGTCGAGGAGGGCGGCCATAAAAAAAGGCAGGGGGTCTCTTAGAATGAGAGAGGATACTTCTAAAAAAGATGCGCACACAGTCAAGTAACGTAAGGACCACGTTGGCTTCAGGAGGGGCTCTGGTTTTCGCGCCGTTCCTCAGATCTAGATCGAAGAATCGACTCGTGGCCGAGGCTCGCCATGGCCGTGACCCACGATGATTGCAAGGCGTCCTGGAGGCAGTGGAACGTCTGAAAAACACACCTCTGATGATTTAGAAAACCACATTCCCCATTTTTGCGCGCCGCCCAGGCGACGGAACCAGAGGAGTAAGGGAGCGTGAGAGAGAGAGAGACAGAGACAGAGAATGAGATAGAAAGAGAGCGAGGGCAAGAGAGAAGAGATCATGGATTGGATGGAAACTTCAGGTGGACAAAACAACGGGATACGGTTTCACATTCAAACCCCAGTCTGGGCCCGAGAGGGAGATAGAGAGCGTGAGTGATTGACTGGGCGAGGATGGGCGAGGGAGGACACAGCCACAACAGCATATAAACAGATATGCAACACCGAAGTGTGTGAACATATGCATAGATATGCATACGCCAAAACATGCAAATCGAGATGTATCTATGCATCTTTACAACTATATATCACATAGGTGTGTGTGTGTGTGTGTCAACAGCTGCTTGCAGCACAACATTAAAATTGCAAGCGTATGTTAACATATTTATATACACGCCTTGCATTTGTGTATGAACGTTTGTGTGTATATATATACATATACATACCCAAACTGTCATACATACCTACATACACATACACATACATATGCACATATGCATATACACCTACGTATGCAGATCTATACGCACAGATCTACATGTACAGAAAAGAAAAATAACGAGATCACACGTACCTGCGACACAAAGCCAAGAACCCCCATAAGATCGACTGCACATATTACAAACACACACCCGTCATGGTTTGCCCATATGATCCTTTCTGTTTGGTCCTCCTCCTCCTCCTCCTCGTCCTCATCTGCCTCCCCCTCTTCGTCCTCATCCTCTGTTTCTTCCTCTTCACTTGGCTCCTCCTCCTCCTTCTTCAGTTTGCTCCTCCTGCTCGTCCTCTTCCTCTTCCTCCTCCTCCTCCGCCTCCTCCTCTTCCTCTTCCTCCCCCTCTTTCACACCCTCCGATGCGACCGGTCCTTAAGTTTAAGTCCCAGTGAACGTATGCGCGGCAGCAAAATAAATTACTCGACGCGGAGATCCCCATATGTGCATATCATAGTGTTGGCAACCTTCGGAAGACGACATTGTCTTTTCAATATCCGAGTGTCAGCGAATCCACGTGGAAAACGAGGCCGAGAGAGACACCGACGACTACGACTACTGTAAAAACATGTTTCCTCCTTCAATCCTCGTCCTCATCCTTGTCCTCCTCTTCTTTCTCCTCCTTTCCCTATGAACCCCTGTCATGAAAATCCATCCGCGAAGACGAGAACGGGCCCGTGCAATACCCCCCTGGCGCCCCCCTTGGGAGTGCTGAAACCAGAGCCTCGCCTGAGACATCCTCGGAAACTGCTCCGAATGAAAGGATGCTGAGCACCCAAGCAGGCAAACCGCCTGAGAAGGCATGAACGATTTTTGCCCCGGTGCCGGTGCCGGTACCGGTGCCGGTGCCGGTGCCGGTGCCGGTGCCGGTGCCGGTGCCGGTGCCGGTGCCGGTGCCGGTGCCGGTGCCGGTGCCGGTGCCGGTGCCGGTGCCGGTGCCGGTGCCGGTGCCGGTGCCGGTGCCGGTGCCGGTGCCGGTGCCGGTGCCGGTGCCGGTGCCGGTGCCGGTGCCGGTGCCGGTGCCGGTGCCGGTGCCGGTGCCGGTGCCGGTGCCGGTGCCGGTGCCGGTGCCGGTGCCGGTGCCGGTGCCGGTGCCGGTGCCGGTGCCGGTGCCGGTGCCGGTGCCGGTGCCGGTGCGGTGCCGGTGCCGGTGCCGGTGCCGGTGGCTGGTGCCGGTGCCGGTGGCTGGTGCCTGTGGCCGGTAGCCGGTGCTGGTGCCAGTATTGGTGCCGGTGGCGAGTGGCCGGTGGCCGGTGGCCAGTGCCAGTGCCGGTGCCGGTGCCGGTGCCGGTGGCCGGTGCTTGTGGCCGGTGCCGGTGGCCAGTGGCCCGTGGCTGGGGCCGGTGCCGGTGCCGGTGCCAGTGCGCGGTGCTGGGTGTCGACACCAGCACCGCTGGCACCGGCACCGGCACTGGCCCCAAGACGGCCCACACAGAGAAGGATCCAAGACAACCCAAGGGGGCTCCAAGATGGCCAGGGAGGGACCCAAAAGGACACCAACTCGGCCCAAGGAGGTTCTCAGACGGCCCTGAAGGCTTCCAGAGAGCCTCAAGACGACCCAGAAAACCCACCAAGACGGACTCCGAAAACGCCAGACGGCCGCGCCAGGGGGCCCCAAGGAGCTTCCGAAGTTCCCCCCCGCGGGACGCTGCCAAGACGCCACGGAGTCCCCAAGGCCCGAGGTGTCACGCGTGACGGCCTCCCGTGTCCCCTCGCACACTCGCAATCAAGAGTGCTAGGGTGACACGGTGGCGGGACTTGCCGCAAGCACCTCCTCCTCCTCCCCTTCCTCCTCCTCCTCCTCCTCCTCCTCCTCCTCCTCCTCCTCCTCCTCCTCCCCCTCCTCCTCCTCCTCCTCCTCCTCCTCCTCCTCCAACTCATCGTCATCGTCTTCCTCGTCGTCGTTTTCCTCCTCGAAATCTACGCGCCTATGAGCGGGCGAGTCGGGACAGGCGGGCGGACCCTAAAGGACGGTCGGGCGAATCGGGCGGGCTGACTTTAACGGGCGGATCGGGCGGGGCCCTAAAGTGGGGGGGGCATCATTGACTGGCGGGCGGGGCCCTAAAGTGGGCGGGGCCCTACAGCGCGGGAGGCATCATCGACGGGCGGCGGGGGGCGCTCCCCAGGGGAAGGGCATTATTTAATCATAGAAGTGCCTGGGTGGACTAGTTCAAACATGATTTATGCGCGACATATGCCAAAGCACGCGTTGCAAAACGTGCGCAGCATGCACGTAATTCTGCAGATCTGAAGCTAAATGCTACTCAGGTGTGGGCAGGCTGGACAGATCCAGCCCTGGAGTCTCCAACTCCGCCTGATCTAGCGCGCTCGAACTCGAGCTCTAGTGCTCCTGCTTAAAATACGTATGAGCGGGCGCATGCGGGCAAAGCAAAACTGATCTTATAGAGGTTTTCCGACTCATCCTACTAAGCCTGATGAGGCTCGACGCTCCATCCCCCCTCTGCTTGGCCCCTCCGCCTGTCCCCAACCCCCCCGCCTAATGCAAGCCGCCAGGCGGCGTGCTCGGAACTGGCGGGCGCAAGCCCTGCGAAGCGCCCATCGCGACCGGCTCCGCGGCGCCAGAAGCACTGGGCGTCAGGGGCAGCGCCGGCGTCACTCGCCTGGGCGCCGCGCGAAGGCGGGGGCTGCGCGGGGGGGCTGGCCGCGCGGCTCGGCGTCGCGTCAGCGAGCTGCGGGCGCCCCTCGTGGAACTGGGCGCGCTTCTGTGACAGCTGCCTCAGTGACACGCGGCAGCAGCGCATGAGCTCGTTGTGGAAGAGCGTCCTCCCAAGTTCTGAGTCGGGCCAGCCCTTGAGAAACACCTCGCCGTTCTGCTCCTGGCACTCCCCCAGGCGCGGGAACTGCTCGAAGGCCGCCTTAAGCACCGCCACCGCTTCGGGCTTGGACGGGCGCGCTCGCCTCTTCCGCTTTGCGGGGGCCTCTTGGTCCAACACGGCCACGCTGTAGAGGTCGACGCAGGCGTTCACGGAAATCTGGCTTTTCCCGGTCAGGAGCACACGACGGATGAGCTCTCTGTCCTTGAAAGCTGCCTTCGTGAAAACCATGGCCCCCCCTTCGCCAAGGCCCTGATTGTCGAATTGCGCCTCGCCCGCCAAGTCCGCGAACGTCAGCGCGCGCTCGCCCGAGCCCGGCGCCTCGCCTCCTGTCGGGGGGGCACCGGCCAGATCGCTCTCCGCGGCGCCCGGACTGGCGGGCTGCGAGACGTCGACATTGCCGCCGCCAGCCCGCGCGGCAGGGCGCGCAACGTCAGCCACCAGGCCGCCAGCGGGAACCGGGCCCTGGGGCGCCGCCGGGCAAGCTGGCACCTGCGTGGAGAGCGGCGCGGCGTACGCATGAGGGTGATAGTGGCCCCGAACAGGGCGCGCCAAACGCCCTGGCTCGTTGTCGCCGTCGCTCTCGCCGTCGGCAGCGTCGCCTGCGGGCGCGCAATTCAAGGAGGGAGGGGGTCGACCTGGCCTAACACCTCCTCCTCCAACACCCGAATCCTAAGACCCCCACCCTAACCCCCGTAACCCTGACACCCTGACCCGAACCCTAACACCCTCATCCTGACGCACGAACCCTGGCCCCATAACACCGAACCCCTCAAACCCTAACCCTGGCACAGTAACCCTATCACTAACCGTGCCCCTAACGCGCTGACGCTAGCACCATACCATAACCCCAACACACTAACCCTAACACCTTAACCCTAAGACCCCCCCACCCCCGAAACTGAACCCTGACCCCGCCTAAACCCGAGCGCGCTAGCCCTAACCGTAACGCTCGAAAACTAACATCCTTAGCTTTTCACCATAACCCCACCACCTTCACCCCAGCACCACAATCAAAACACCGTTACCCTAACACCCTGACGCGAACACCCTAACCGCACCCTATTGCGAACCCGAAAAAAGCCCGAGCACCGTATCCATGGCCCCAGTCATACCATTCAAGTTCTGACGCACCCTGGCCCAAACCTTAATACACCAACCGTGACGCCCTCACCCGAACCCTGACACTCGAACCCTAACTCCTTACCCCTTACACCGTAACCCGAACACCCTTGCTCTCGCCATAGCACCCTGGCCCCAACGCCCGAACCCTACCACACGTTTCCTCACACCCTGACTCTAACCGAACATCCACACCCCCTAAGTCGAACACCCTAACCCTCACACCCTCACCTGAACACAACACCCGAGCCCGAACATCCCAGTCCCAAACCTAGCACCCTGGCCATAACACCTTAGCCCAACCACGAACACCCTAGACCGAACCATAAGCCCGAAACCCAAACACCCTAACCTTTACACCCTCACACCCTCTCACTAACACCCTAACCCTGAATCCAAAGCCCCATGAACCTAACTCAGACACCGTAACGCACTAATCCTGACACCCTAACCCAAACACCCGAAACCCGCTCCTTTCACCCACACCCTCACCCCAACACACTGACCCAAGCCGGGGCCCGCGCACGACCATTCCGCATTCCCCAATCAGAGCTTGCCTCTGTAGGGGTCCTAGCGGATTCATATGGTTCGGTGAGGTGGGGCGCCGATTACGGTGGCAGGGGGCCGGGTGCCCGGGCGTCCCGATGCACGGGTGCGTCGTCGCCGATTTCGGTGGCCAGGCCAGGGTGCCTGGGTGCCCAGGAACCTTATAGCCCCATAGCACAATCGCCATATAGTTCGATCGCCTTATATTCCTATAGTGCCCTATAGACCTATAGCCCTCTTGCCCTCTTGCCCTCTCGCCCTATAGCCCTTTAACCCTATAGCCCTATAGCCCTTTAGCACTATAGCATTATAGTCCTGTAGCCCTATAGTGCCCTTTAGCCCAATGGCCCAAATAGCGCATATAACCTGGTATGTATAGCCCTATAGCATAATAGCCCTATAGCCCAATAGCCCTATAGCACAATAGCCCTATGGCCCCACAGCCCTATAGCACTCTAGCCCAAGAGCCCTATAGACCTCTAGCCCAGCAGCCCAATAGACCATATAGCCCATCTAGCCCCATACCCTCATAGCCCCATAGACCCCAAACAATAGGATTGGGCTTTTCTCCGGTATATATGTTGATGCGGATGGGGCGTCGGCTCTGCCTTTGCAAAGAAGCCAGGTGCACCGTCTTCGTCCAGAGCAGCTCGCCATATGGTCCGGATGGCAATGCTGATGTCGAGCATGCGCCTGGCGCACTGGACGTGCTGGGTGGTGATGAGCGGCAACCCCGAGGCCGCGTCCAAGGTGCCCCCGCCTCCAGAGTAATCCAGCACGGCAACGAGAGCAGCCTGAACGCCCTGCTGGCCCGCGGCGTTGGCCTCCAGCGCAGCCAAAGTAGGATCGTCGTCTCCTCGGGTGGCGAAAAACGTGCAACCCCAGATGCGCGCGCAACCTGGGGTGAAGGTTCCTGGGGAAACCTAGATGTGCAACCCCAGGTGAACCACCTGAAAAATTACACGTGCAACCAAGGGTGAAGGTTCCTTCCTACGTCGAAAAAACAACTAACGAAAGATGTGCAACCACGCATGACGGCTGTCGAAAACCGAAATGAGCGCAACCCAGGGTGATGGTCTCGTGGCAAGGAGAAACCCGCACCCCAGGTTGCACTCGCAGCTGGGGTTGAACGTTTTTGGCTCTCTGGTCTCCTCGCAACTGCGCGCGGATGCTCTGTGCCACTTGGTTGCCCGTCATGATATTGCGCGCCTCCTCCTCGAACGGCAAGATCGCCTGCGGCTTCTTGGCGAAAAGCTCTGCAACCCTCCTGGCCCCCGCTTGGATGTGGCCCGCGGGGTCCGGCAGGTCCCCCCTGTTAGAAATTCGGAACTCGGTCCGCAACTGCGCGTCGCCTACGTCGGACGGGGTAACCCGCAGGTATCGCAACCGGGACTCCTCGCCATCTGGGAACTCCACCTTGTATCCGCCAGCCGGGCCCACGAAACTGCGAGCCTGGGAATTTGCTGCCGACGCCTCGCCCGTCTCGGCGTCCCTCTCCAAATACTGGGCCGCGGCCTCAGGGGCGTCAAGGTATGTCTCCAGTTGAACGTCTGCGCCTGCTGGGGGCGAGCGGCAGCCACGCCCACGCGGAGACGCCGCGCGGGAGGCGACTCCCCGCGGGCAGCGCAGCGTGGCGCGCAGCGGCCTGGTCAATGCAGGCGACGAAGCGCTCCTTAGTGCACGCCGTGTGGTTACCCACGATCCCCCTGTCCATGGCTATGAATTTCCCAGGATGTCCGTTGCCGAGCAGAGACACCGAGACGCGTTTGCCGCGAGACTCGCCAAAGGTCGCGCTTGTGCGAGTTGCCCGTCTCGTCTTGCCACTCGCGATCAAAGTGTTCAAGGTGGACGCGTGGACCGTCGGCGCCCGATCCTTCTCTCCTCCTCCTCCACCTCCTCCTCCGCGGCCGGTAGCGAGAAGGCCGAGGCCGCCCCAGAACTCGTACGCCTCGTCTAGATTGAACGCCCTGCCGCCCCACACATCTGATTGCCTGAACTCGGCAACCCGCCCGTCGCCCTCCGAAAAATCAACGAGGGGGAAGCCGCTGGAGCACCGGTAAAAGAATTCCGTGAAAGCGAAGCTTTGGAGACAGATACTCTTCACGGTCACGGGGGGGCCGTCGTCGAGGAGCGAGTCGACGTGCTCGCCAATGACGTCGTCGCACGTGTCGAAGATCTCCTCGCACACACTGAAAAGCTGGCTCTTCCCCGCCTGTGCGTTCCCTATCTGGAACACTGGTGCAATTAATGGAGTGGGCTTCTGGCCCCATATCTTGACGGCGGCGCCATTTGTAAGAGCCGCCGTGGGGCCTCCAACCATCAAGGCGCTCGTGCAATACCCTTGGCACGTTGTGTTAACGATGGGCTTCAAGAACTCGCGCACCTTAGGGGGGAGGTGCTCCGCCGGGCTGAACTCACTGGCGACGCGAGCCATCGCCCTCGCAAAGAGTTTCTTCACCTGCTTCTGGGACAGACTCTCCGTGTTCTTCCCTGCCATGGCCGCGCAGTGCGTGACGGCGCGGTCGCGTCACAAGTATGACCTGCAGGACTCGCTGCGGCAATCCCACGAAGGGGGACCTTTGAGCCAGGGCGCTGCGTGCGAGGCTGGCAGATGGAACCGCGCAGCGGGGCAGCGAAGCTGGGGCCTTTGTCTCGCCTTCGAATCGGCATCTTCGCGCGGGTGCAAAAGCAGCGGCCCGACCTCCTCGCGCCCGCCACGTCAGATCGATGGGCCGTCATGGGCCGTCTGCCACGCTTTTTTTCACGATCGGCAAAATTCCCAAAACCTGCGGGGGGGCGGATAACCCCGCTGCACGCCCCAAAACCGCGCCCGAGGCCCTGGCTATTGCAGGGCGACGGAAAGCACGACGCGCGCAGCGAAACTCCCACGGCCTCCAGAAATCTCCAAGACAGGGCCGCGAAGCTCTGAGGAAGCCCCAGGAGCTTTCGAGTGCATTTTCGCCCCTCGCCCCACCCCTTCCCCCGTCGCACCCCGCGCCCCTCGCCCGACCCATGATCCGAACGTTGGCGGGAAGGAGAGGCCGCGAGAGGCCCCGTGCATCAGAGCTGTCTCGGCTTCTTCTCGGCCGAGGCCGAGGCGGCCTCGCTCGCCCGAGCAACCTTCCTGGCGGCAGTGGCCTGGGCGCCCCTCATGCGCCCCAGCGTCTTCATGTTCAACGCGCCCACCATCTCTTGCACGTAGAACTGGGAGGCCCACCGGCCCACGTGGTGGACCACGTGGCCCAGCGGGGACAACTCGCTGTTCATGATTTCGCAGATGTTTGTGGGGAACTTGCTCAACAAGGCTGTTGGCCTCCAGCCCCGGCAGGCAATGTTCGCTGCACCACTTGCCCACGTGCCCGCTGGAATGGTAATCGTCGACAATGTAAGCCGTCTCGGTTGCCAACCGCGCAGCCACGGCGGTGCCCTCCCCGCTCTTCTCCGCCATGAGGCGCAGGTGGCACGCGTCGTCGTGGACGACAATCTTGAGGTCGGGCATGTGGGCCGCCACTATGGCGAGGAATCGGCGCCGCTGGCTGAGGGGCTCAGCGCACATGAGCTCTTCCACGTGCGCCAGAATGCCAGACGCGGACACGGCCGTCAGGAAGCCCGCTGCGCGGGCGGCTGCAACGATGTGCGCGTCCGTCTCCTTGTGCGTGGAACACTCGGAAGCGGCGCGTGTCCCGTTCGAGCTCCGGGATGCCACGAAGCTCTTTTCTTTGCGCCCTTTCTTGCCAGCCGCGCCCTGCTTTCGAAGCGCCATGCGGCGAGCCCAGCGCGCTTGGATGCGCGCGTCAGCCCCAGTGCCGAAATACTAAGCCAGCGCATCTGGAGAGACAGCGCACGCGGGCTGCCAGCGACGCGCAAAGCCTTTCAGCTGCACCTCCAGGGGGGGCCAATCATCTGGCCCATGCAGGGCTCGGCGCAACCGGCGGTTGCATGCAGTCTCGTGCGGCGCCGGCGGGTCAGCCGCTAACGCCTTGGCATGCTTGCAGCACATCGCCCCCTTCCCATGCGGACGGTCTGGGCACCCTCGCAGAAGGAATTTGTCCAGCTCGGCGCAGAAGACCACGTGAGAGAAAGGCACGCCGCACGTTCGGCGGCACAACTTGGCGTTGCCATCGATGGCAAGAATGTCTGTGCGGTCTCCAGACAAACGGACCTGCTCCAAACGCCGGCGGAACATCAACGGCCCATGCCAGCGCCAACTCTTCCGCACCAGGGCCTCAACGGAGAGACACAGCAAAACTTTTGCCAACTCGTCAAATTTCTCGGGTGCCCCCTTCTGGCATCGCTTCCACAGAAGCTGCCGCACC